CATAACATTTCAATATATTTTAATCTATTTTTCTCATGAACTTTCCAATCCTTTGGTTGTGTGTCTCTGCAGGGTGTGACTTGTGATATGTATGATGATCTTTGGTATGTGACTGCTTTAAGCTTTGGGACTATGCGAGACAACTCTCTTGCTTGTGCTGAGATTCCAGTGATCAGACCACAACTCTTTGAGCTCAAGCACCTCAAGTCTCTCTCTTTTTACAACTGCTTCACATCACCAAACCGATACCTAGCTTCGATCCCGGAGGAGAAGTGGCTAGATCTCTCTAAGAACTTGGAGACACTTGAGATCAGATCAAATCCGGGACTGATAGGTGAACTCCCTTCTTTCATCACTAATCTCACCAACCTTCAATCTCTAGTGGTGCTAGAAAACCGGTTAACAGGTCCATTGCCAGAGAATTTAGCCAAGTTAACCAGACTGAGACGCTTAGTACTGTCTGGAAACCGGTTCACAGGAATAATACCGGAGGTCTATGGATTAACCGGATTGTTGATATTGGATTTAAGCAGGAACTTCTTATCGGGGTCGTTGCCCTTAAGCGTGGGAGGATTGAATTCACTGCTTAAACTCGATCTCGGTAACAATTACTTGGAAGGAAAGTTACCTAGTGAGCTTCAGTCCTTAAAGAATCTGACTCTTTTAGACCTTAGGAACAACAGATTCTCAGGTGGACTGACCAAAGAGATCCAAGAGATGAGTTCTTTGGTAGAACTAGTCCTGTCCAATAACCATCTCGGCGAAGACTTAGCAGGACTAGAGTGGAGAAATCTGAAGAATTTGGTGGTTTTGGATCTCTCCAACACACGGTTAAAAGGAGAGATTCCTTGGTCAATCTTGGAGCTCAAGAAACTGAGGTTTTTGGGTCTAAGCAACAACAATCTCAGAGGCAAGCTCTTCCGGGAAATGGAAACCGAAATGCCTTGTCTCAACGGGCTCTACGTAACTGGAAATAACATCAGTGGAGAGCTTGAGTTTTCTAAGAAGTTCTATGAGAGGATGGGAAGGAGACTTGGTGTTTGGGGAAACCCTAATCTGTGTTACAATGGAGATGAAATCAAGAACCTTCGTGATCATGTTCCTTTTGGAGTGAAACAATGCAAGAGAGTTAAGACTGTGACTTTGGCTTAAAAAGCATTACTTGAAACTTGGAAAGTTACAAAGTTGTGGTCTTTTCAACTATGCAATTATCGTAACTTTATAGCCAAATATTGTTTGATTATTTTCTTTAATTTGTTACTAGCTAGCAGTAGTGCCTTCAAGTTTTAAACAA